CTTATAAAACTGAAAATAATCACATCAATCTTTCACCGGGAGATTTCAGTGGCTGAACAACACGTCTGTGCATATAAGTCATTCATAACAAAACACAATCTAACATAAAATAGTTTCAAAAGAGAACATTACCTAAGAGTAATACTTCAGCCATGGTGTCGTCCTTCCTCCAGCGTGCTAAAGTAACTCTAATATTGATTCAGGTTTTTAAAAGTTTCAATTCAGCTTTTGATTTCTCCCGGTCCGTCTCGTGACCGCGCGGCCGCTTTAAGAGTGAATTATACCAGCGCCTGTATAACACAGTACAGTAATCGGCCCGAGCTCGGGCGTCCTTCGGCGCCTTCGGCTCCGACTCGGCATCTGCGAGCGGCCTGCAGCTCGCTCGGAAGCGCATGCGTTTGTGATGCAGACGGGCATGCGCTAATGGCGGATCTGCGTGAACAGATGCGCAGAAGTCAGAATCTACATTTGCTGACAGACAGTCTGACCTGCCTATCGGAATTAAGGGAGATGACGGTCCGACTCTATTTAATTGGATAAACATTTTTTAGTTTTATGCTTTACCCAGAATATAAAAATACAAATAAACACATTCAGATCGTTTACTGTAATCATTACTATTGGACTGTGAATTAGACTGTGATTAGACTTTCAACCAGCACAACAAAAAATGTTTGTGAAGACAATCACCTACTGCACCTTTAACAGAAATAATGTGCAGTATAGAATATAAAGTCATGGTGCAGTAGAAAAAGAATTAATATTGCGTCTGACTTCCTTGAGCTTGGAGGTCTGCATCCATACATCTCTGCAATGACTCAAATCACTTATTAAGTCATCTGGAATGGCAAAGGAGAGATCTTTCAGGACTCCAAGAGTTCATTAAGATTCTTTGAATTCATTTTCAATGCCTCCTCCTTCATCTTGTCCAAGACAAGCTCAATAGTGTTCATGACTGGTGACTAGGCTGGCCAATCCTGAAGCACCTTCTTTTCTCGCAGGAACTTTGATGTGTAGGCTGAAGTATGAGAAGGAGCGCTATCCTGTTAAAGAATTTGCCCTCTTAAAGCCTTATTATAAATATATACAAATAAAAATAGACCCTTCACGGTTTTTCAAATGTGTTTGTTCTAGAAATATGATCAAATATGAAAGTTTCCATGACTTAATATCTGCATTTTTCAACCCAAGAGGATTAATGACACCATTTAAAGCCATTTAAAAACAGTTACATTAGCCAGAAAATAAACAAACTATGTTACTTTACAAAGCACCATGTCATGACAACAATGTTTACCTCACTATGGCCTGGTTTCTATCAAGCTGTTATTACATTATGCGCTGGAACCTACAGTATGTGTAATGAACAGAGCTGACAAAGCCCAGAATGCGAAGCTGAATCCAACAGAAGTCTTCATTAATCAAGATCTTCAAGTCAACAGGTCGTGAACAAAGCCGAAATGTACTTAAGGCTATGCAAAGTGATTCGAGCACCGGAAGCCAACTCTCATCGTCTCAATCACCGCTCGGCAAGCAAAACATGCCCGATTCAACCTGCTCGCCCGACACCTCCACCAATGTGGACAAGACCGGAGTGATGAGGAACATATCGCCTTTGGCAACTGTTTCAAGTCGCGCCAGTGTAAAGCAGAGCTGCCTGTCACCTCCCATGATCCTCAGCGAAGGACTCCGGCACCTTGATTTTGCCGTCGCCTCATCCGTCGGCATCATTTGCAGGGAGTAATTGATGGTGGCGTTGACAAATGCGGAGCCCACCTTGCATAATTAATAAATGAAAGCTCCGTGCTTTGCAGCTCACTCTGTGATGTGTGGGAGAGAAGGTGTGCCCGCTATACAAGCCGTTATCTGGGGACAAGTCTCATTTGCATTCCTGAGACTGTACTAAAACACCAAACACCAGATCTGATGAACGTGATGTGCTGCCACATGAAAGTTGACTATTTGATCATTTGATGAGAAGGTGTTTGGAGCGTGATGCATCCGTTTTCAAGGTCTGTCTAAGAATAGAGGAGGTGCAAGATGACTGATTTCATCATTTTTGATCATTGTGTGATCTTTTAGTATTGGTTTTATTAGCATTAAGTTCCATCAACAATGGACCCTTTTCAATGGACTGTTAAGATCCAATTAGAGCATGCTGCTTAATTATTCATGACTGCGCGTGCTTTCCGAAGGCAAGGAAGACCTGCCAGTGCCAAGCTGTGAGACAAGTTTCACAAAGTTAAATTTAAGACTTTAAGACTTTTTAAGACCATTATAAATTAAATTTTAAACCTTTTTTTAAATGGCCCAGATGGAAAAGATTTTTATTTGTGTATAAAAATATACAAATTTAATAAATTTAATAACACAACAATACAGTAATATTAATATTTATATATATATATATATATATATATATATATATATATATATATATATATATATATATATATATATATATATATATATATTAGATTTTTTTTCTTAGCTAAATATTTTAAATATTGTGTAAAAACAAGCAAGCTCTACTTGTCTCCATACACAACATAAAATAAAATAAAAATGAACAAATCTTTTAAAAAATGAACAAAATGAACAAAAGTTTTAAAAAAACTATAATAAACTAAATAAAACAATCTGTCCAGGTCGGTGTCCTCAGAAGTGGAGACCATTTAAACAAATGCTAATGTAAGGAAGATAATTAAACCATTATGATAAATAGAGTTAAAAATTACCTTTTAAATAAAAAGTTTAAAGTTTTACTGATGTGATTGTTGGTGATTGTATGGGTTTTGGCCAGATTTGATTGCAGTACACGAACAAAGGAAAATTAAGACATGTTTAAAAAAAAAGATTTAAGACCAACAACACAATATTTCAATAAATTTAAGACTTTTTAAGGCCTAAAATTTGGATTTTGAGATTTAAGAAATTTGAAGACTTTAAGACCCTGCAGAAACCCTGATAAAGTGCCATTCCTGCTTAAAGATGCGGTGCATGCAGATTCTGGCAGAGCAGCATTGCCCTTTTATGCAAGCACTAGGTAAGTTGACTGTATAAAACAGTGTAACCACATCATCATATCTGCATACACATGGGCCTGTTGACTATTGCAGCTTGCTTGTAGTGCCATTCCTGCCTAAATCATTGATGCATGCAGATCCTCTTGTGTGTATTGCTTATTCTTGCTGAATTAATGGATGTCTCTTTAGTAAGTCGCTTTGTATAAAAGCTACTGCTAAATGACACATTAAATGTGTTCAACAGCCCCAAAATAGGTGGTTTCATGGAGTGTTCAAATAGGCTAGAGAGTGGACTCCACTTTCTAGTCTATTTGAACACACTTCCAGTTCAAACAGACTAGAAAGTGGATTTATTCCTCCCTGTGCAGTAAGATACTATATGCAAGGCCAATTGAAACTAGGTAAACTGTATCAGGTGTGTGTTTGCAAAGAATTGTGGTCAATGTAGTCCATTTGAGTAGTAGACGTGATATCTGGAGTGCCCTCTATTTTTCTACAGTATCTGTTATGTATAGGATCGCAAATACAAATGGACAGATGTCAGCAACAGCAAGTGGTACACTGGACTGATATTCTACACTTCAATGTATGGTGAAGGTGAGCTTTATTACTGAGGAATGCTGTCAAGACACTTTCTTCTTTAGTGGGTGGAAATACAGCAGGAAATGGCAGGGATGGTTCACTAGTCTACAGTCGAACAGAAACTTTCCAGGAATGGCTCAAAGGTACAGTATGTGACTGTTCAAGTGTCTGCTTTCAGATCAGGCTGTGACTATATGCATTCACATCACAGTCAGCAACTAAAAACTCTAATCAGTCAGTTATTGGGAAAAATGCATATAATGACATTTGAGGACACAAAAAAATACTTCTGAAAAAGGGAATCAAAAGTGCCATGTTTTTTAAAATGATACCATAATTGTTATGTAGTGAACAGTGGTAAAGCCTGGAACTTTGAAAATTAACTTGTGGAAATTAATTTCCAATGTAAACAAATGCTGCAGAGTTAACGCTAAACTCTGACCCTTTTCTTAGGCTTATCAGAAAGTGGCAATTGAGACAGTGACCATCAGTCTTTTGTTTATCAAAGAGACAAAGGTGTTAAGAGCCCAGAACTTGCAAAACAGCTTCTTGATCCAACCAACATTCGACATTGTCTCAAGACACAGAGAGAAACATGGATCAGAAAACTTACATTTCACAAAAGAGACACAAGTGGAATATTTCACTTCATATACCTGTATTTTGAAATGATCATGTATATATTTAATATGCACAGCTGGAAAGACTCCACTGTTAGAAACTTTGCTTATTAAGGTTTATAAGGTGGGATATGAATGCTTGGGTAAAGATCAACTTTACATAGTGATGTTTAGATGTGGTTTGGAAAGTAAATTGTGCATAGGAATAGTTAACCGGTGGCCTATGACTATGCGAATGCAGGCCACATTATGGATGCCAACTCCCAGTGACCAACTCACAGGATCATCCAATCACAATGCTGGATTTGAAAGATGACATCCGCTGTGCAACCCCCTTTAGGATGCCAACATTGTGAACCTTTTTTTTTTTTTTTTTTGGCACCTGACAACAGGTTTTGATCTTTGGTTTCGTTCTATAATGCTTAACTTATTTTTCTAAGAAGGTTTGAACTTGAGAGTGTTTAAACAAGAGAGAAATGTGTGAAAATGTTAATGCCTGTCTGAAAAAAGTGTATAAAGTGTGTATTCACAGCCTAATAACATCTATAATAATTGTAAAAAATAAAACTGACTACTTTGCAGATTTCACCTATATTGTGGGTTATTTTTAAAACGTAACTCCCACGATTAATGAGGGACCACTGTATTACTGATGTTGTAGAATTAAACTATATTATTTAAAGCATGTGTCAAGTTCAGACCAAAAGCTTAATATATAAATAAATCTATTTATAAAACCCACTAAATTCAGGATGATGAATGCAGAGGTTTAAAAAAGGCTCATTTATTAGTTTTGGCCAACAAAAGAACGTCTTATGCCTGCAGCACGCTGCCCTAACTGAGTTTTCGGGAAGAGGATCCGTGTTCGTCTTTGTAATGCTACACTGGACAAATAGCATTATTGTTACATCCAATTAAAATTGGCATACCTAAATTGAATTGAAACCTTCTCAACCTTTTCCGCCAGCCCCTTGCATGCTGCTAAATGCACGTGAGGACACGTCAGAATAAAGCGAACACTCGAGCATGCAGTTATCAACGCGCCACATGTGCTGCTTCTCCGAGACAAACACGAAGGCGGGATGCTTGCCTTTGTTCCTCTAGCGGTTCATTGGAAGCGTTGGACTAAAGCAGTTCCAGGCGATCTGGCGTCTTGCAGGATTGTCTCTCTGGCTCCAGGCTGTGACTCTGGATGAGAAACTGGCTGCGGTTCAGAAAGAAACAAAGAGGCAAAGGTCACAGCCCGTGCATGGCAGTACAATGTTACAAACCCAATTTAAACTTTGAGAAAAAAAAAGTGATATTTTGACCCAAAAGCAAGCATAAACGCATACAGTTTCAGCATAAGGACTGAGCAATATAATAAAAATATCATATCCCGATAGCTATATATAAAATATACAAATACTATATACAGTTGAAGTCAAAATTATTATTATTTTTTATTCTTTTTTTAAATATTTTCCAAATCATGTTTAACAGAACAAGGAAATTTTCACAGTATGTCTGATAATATTTTTTTATCAGGAGAAAGTCATATTTGTTTTATTTGGCTAGAATAAAAGCAGTTTTAAATTTTTTAATAACCATTTTTAAGGACAAAATTTTTAGAAAAATTTTTGATAGTCTACAGAACAAACCATCATTATACAAAAACTTGCCTAAATACCTTAACCTGCCCAGTTAAATCGTTATTTCACAATTATGTAAAAAATAAATTACAATGATTTACATTTTGTAAAGTCTACTTTGAGTTAGCTCAGCTGTATGTGTGGCAGTGACAATGATCGTAGATAATCCAGACCTGGAGAGACAAAAGACACTCCCCCACTGGCTAATGTTCACCCATCAAGGGCATTGTAAAGCAATGTCCAGCTGCAAAAGCTAGCCCAACCTAAATGCTTGTTGTATAACTTGCTGAATTATGACCATGTAAACACTATAAGTAAGTACTGTATGTGCACTTTTACAGCATGCACAAAAAATATATTTGCAATGGTATAAAACGTGTTTGCAAACTGCTGTAATAAAAACTCTCTTGTGCATTATTCCAGCACATAATATTAATTTCTGAATAATTCTGAGACACTGAAGTAGCATAATGACAAAAGCTTTAAACATAAGAATAAATAATATTTTAAACATGAAAAACAATTACTTAAAAAAAAATAATAATAACAATAATATATATATATATATATATATATATATATATATATATATATATATATATATATATATATATATGTATATTAAGGGTGTCACGATCCTCCAAATCCTCGATTCGATTACATTTTCGATTCTAAAGACACAATTTGATTCGATTTTCGATTATGAATAATTAATTAATTAATGACCAATTAATTATTTGTAGCCTACCGTTTAAACTACCTGACCTGCATGGTCTTTGTTTTACCCATAAACAAATCATACAGTAAATGAATAAAGGCAAGATACACACATAATTACCACCTGTCAATCACTTTTTTTTTGCGGGACTCGTGAATAGGCAGTGATCTGTGTCGTTATACTGGCGTCTGTAAAAAAGACGCACAACCAACAGGAACCAGCCAACAGTATCTGAGGTGTTCGCTAAAATGACTAAGTACAAGTGAGTGAAAGATTGAAGCGGTCTACTGATCCTCTGACTGCCTGAACCCGCTGTCTCGAGCCCATGGCTGTGTGTGTGCGTCTGTGTCTGTGTGTGTGGTCACGTGATGTGCGTTTTCAGAGGTAGAGGGGAAGGAGGGCTGCTCAAAAATGCTACACGCCACTGTGGATGTCAAATCGTTGTCGTTCTAAAATGCCATTTAAAAACAAAGACAGTGTAAACAGGGCCTGAGTGTGCACTTTTCGCGAGCGGATTTGCAACGGGGGCGGGCGGAGGATCGCGATGCCGGTGTTGTCTATCGGGCGAACCCTAATACGTACATAGCAGAGCTTGCAAAACTGTGGGGTTTTTTGTCGACAACACGAACGTTGTCAACATAACTCACTGGAAATCCAACATGCTTACACACCGGCGACTTCATTGAAAGAGGAGAGGGTTTAAGCTCTGTTGACAGGTCTCCTGCTTCTGCAGTTTAACAAGCACTTCAACAAGCTGGTTTTTTTCCCGCTTGGCAAGCCAAGCTGACGTGACATGGGGGCGTGGCAGCATCGACAATTCTATTTTTTGATTCGATAATCGAAATTGAGCATAAATTTCGATCGATTTCGATTTGACACCCCTAATATATATATATATATATATATATATATATATATATATATATATATATATATATATATATATATATATGCTCAAATCGGTATTCATTCATATATTATCAATTTTCTAATTTTTATTTTATTTATTTATTTATTTATTTATTTATTTATTTTTGTAGAAACTTCTGGGGAAATGTTTGATTAAGAATGTAGAAATCTAAAATAAATAATAAAATATAAAATACTTATAATACTATAAGTAAATGTAAACTTAAAGCTAGGTAAACTTTTTTTTCCATGCTCTTATTGGCATATCTGCCTGCGTCTTGGTCATAAAAATGTGGTAAAAAAAGTACTACTAAAACAAAGTATTACCGCAAGCTATGTATTTTGCGACACCACAAAATACACAATATAGCATAATATTAAACAATAGAAATTTATTATTTTGTCAATATTATACTATTGTCATTATCGCACATCCCCCATTCTGCACTAAAATAAATAAGTAGCTATCAAGAGGGGAAGGGGAACGGGGGAAAAAAAAATCCAGTTCAAGGTTGCATTTGAAGGCAGGAAGCAAAAACAGCTGGCTTGGGAGCATTTAGAAGCCAGCCGCCATGGCATTGTCTATTTTATCACCAGTAATGTGTACTATTTGTTCCACTCAATGTGCAGCGAGAAGGCGATTTAGAAAGATTGATCTTTTCGCTTTTGTTGAAGACCAAACTCTGAGGCATCAATATATGTCCTGAAACAAACCTTGATTAGTTTCCACAAACCACAAGACAATATGTGCTGTAAGAGAGATGCAGCTGCTTTTATTTATTGTGCTGTTGCGGTAGAGCAGTGGTTTTAACAACATTAGTAAAGCACATCTGTATGGCTCGGCTTACACTGTAATGCACTACAATTATGGGGACGTGCTCCTCAGGAAAACAATAGTGCAATATAACACTCGACATGAAAACAATAATGTACTACATTGTAAAAAAAAAAAAAAAAAAAAAAGTAGGTTCCACACAATTCCTTCATGTTGTCCCAACACAAATTAAGTTAATTTAACTGTTTTTTAGAAATTTAAGTAGATTAAACATAAAACAATTAACCCTCTGAGGTTGCCAGATCGCCGCGGCATGATAAGCATTTATTTTTTTATCAGCGCCAAAGACACTAAGAATACTCTGTTGGTTTTTTTTGGTCACACAAAAAAAGTTTTATACACCATTCGAATCGTTTACACTGAAAAAAAAGTCAGTTTTACTCAATTTACTTGAGTTTAACTCAATTTTTTTTTTTTTTTTACGTTTAGTGGTAGTAAACTATTTATTTGGGCTGAATTTAAACAAACAAATTAAGTTGAACATTATTAAACTTAATTTGTTTAAATTCAACACAAATAAATAGTTTGCAACAGTTCTGCATGCAACACTTTTTAGGTGTCTACTGTTTTTGTGTGTGTGTGTACACTCACAATAACAACAAAAGTGAGTGCTTTGGCAAAATAAGCATAATATACAGTGTGTGCGTTCTTTCTTCTGTCCACAAAACTGTTTTTAGAAACGCGTCACTAAAATGAACTGAAACTCTGTGGTATGCAAGTTTGACATCCAGTGGTTGAACAAGGTATTGCACACCTGGTTCAAAACACTTTTGATTGAGAACACCAACAAAAGCGAGCCAGACTATCAAGCTATAAGGCAGATTTAAGTTGTGTTCTAAATAAAAGCTGAAGCATGCAATAGCAGGAATATTTTCCTTATTTAAAGAAGCTTTTGTTCTAGTTAAGAGCTGAAATTTATATTTTAGAAATGGCTTCTATTTCTTGCTGGTGAACAACAGAAAACTGACAATGATCCCCTCAGGTACAGCTCATGTGCTTTATTATGTGTTAGACGTTATTAACGTGAGTTTAAAAGCCATTTTAGATGACATTTATTGCCATTCTGCTACTTGAAAACAAAATAAACAGATATTGAAAATTAGAACTGTGACTTGGTGTAAAAAAAACACATATCAGTGATCCAGCATGTGCATTATGTAATGTTAAAGAGGTTTAATATGTATCAATTACGTTTTAAACCTTATCATTTTGTTGGAGTGCAGTGAGTGCACTATTCTGTGCTTCTAAAGGCTTTATTTAAATTTATATCATGCTTCGTCTGGTGCAAACAACCAAACTGCTTATCACTGCAAATCTACCATGTAACCTGCTCAACTAATGTTTACGTTCATAATATTTTTATTATTTGAAGAGTTCAGATGCAAAAGCCGCTAATTGTCACTTCCGCCAAAAATTAGCTAATGACATTGAGCGAATGTTTTAGGAATGTAGTACATGTTCAACAAATATTTTAGCTTCAAATCATCCAAATCCCAGCGTACGCATACACTAAACGCCACTTGTCTTTGACAGCAAAAGCCGCTATATCCCAAAAAAAAAAAATCAGACGGCGCAAATCAAATCATATGTTTTGAATGTAGCAGCACACTGATACGTCTGCTTTTATGAGGAGACTGTTTTATTCTGCCTCTGATTTCGTTTTTAAAAGATGGAGTTTGATGAACTGGATGAGCCTGTCTGACTCAGTGAAAGGCAAATGAAAACGTTCGGAAAAGTCAGGAGTGTTCCATGACTTCAAAACGTTTTTTTTTTTTTTTGTGCAGTGATGCTACTTTGAATGAGTCCGATTTACTAAACAATAAACGGCAACTGCGTTTCATGAAAGACAAAGTTAAGATGCTGTTCTTTTATCCCACATGTATGCTATGAGGATAAACAATAGGCGAGAAAGAGATCAATACCTTAAGTATGGTGAGAATAAATGAATTACAGCTTCTAAAAGTTTCTGAGAGGCATCCCCTTTTTGCCCAGAAGGCCTAGCTTTTGTTTTATTTGCTAATTTAAGCTATTTTTTAAAAGATAAATATAATGTATAAAACTATACATTATTTATATTACTTCATATCACCTTTACATCTGATAAGCTTTTT